CAATTCTACTTTTAAACAAAATCAATTTGAAGCTCTGTTTTGCATTACTAGCTGTGACAAGAAGCTGCTTTTGAATTATACAAATAGATGTTACCCTTTTACAAATGAAATCGGATGCATTGTAAATACAGCATTTTAGAAATGTACAAGTTATAAAAAGCAACACACATATGCAAACACACACACAGTTTTTGGTTTCACATTGATTTCTAGAAGAAAAATTTTGTTTGTCTTTGCCTAGCTAGCATTCAACACCTCCTTATGCTGTTTTTCATAGCATCTCCATCTCCTGTTCTTTTTCATGACTTTGAATCTTGATCAAATGATTGTAAGACTAAGACACTGTATGCAACTAAGAGGTGCATGAATCATACCGTTCCTTTGGTAGAATTTCAGCTGTGGTTCCTGTTGCCCTGTCCTTAGGGCTAATGATCGCTTTTCATAAAATCTCTTTTGTTACCATATATATATGCATACATATGTGTGTGTGTGAATATATATACACACCTATAATATATATAAATCTTATATAAGTCACTTATTAATATTATTTCAGTTTTATTGCAATATAATAGACAAAAATCCTGTATCAAGGTATGCAATGTGATGTTTTCGTGTGCATATATTCTCACCACAAAAAGGTAATTATGCAAGGTGATGGATATGTTAATTAGATTAATTATGTATTTCATTTTTGATAATGATAGAGTTGGTTTCTGTGGTTTGCAAACAAGAACAGTAGCATGTGACCAAACAAGAACAGTAGCTTGTGACCTTAAATATACCCAACACATCTTAAGTTTTCAAAGGGAAAGAACACATTTTTTATATATTTCATTTTATCAGTAGAATAAGCAGATGTTTGACAAAACAAGTTGTCCCTGCCTGACATTGCCAAAAGGCAGGAAAAACAATTAGATGACTTCACACCCTAAGTGTATAAAGCTAAGTATGATGTTTCTGAGGATGGAGAGACAGAAGCATCTTAAAATCTTCCACAGTGGGTATGGTTTCAAAAACTTAGTTATGATAATTAAGTACAATAATAGAAACAACTGTCCTGTATTTCTGCTTCAGGATATACTATTCCCAATGTTCTTATTTTAATTTCTACAACTATGAAGAGAATACCCTTTTAATTAATGAACATTGTTTTCACATGGCAATGAAGGGATATTTCTTCTAATTAGTATCAAATCTAGCCAATATATATGTGTCCTCTAATTCCACATGCCATAGGGAAGAGTCCAAGAGAGGGAAGGGAATTTGGACTTGTCTTTCCCTTTATACCTGCAGGATATTTCATCCACTGGTGCCCAAAGACTAAGAATTTAGTCCCCTCCCTGCCATTGTACACTTGATGCAATGCACCTGAAACCCTGCTGTTCCTAGATCCTGAGAAACCCTTAACAAGGTCCTGAACTTGACTGCATGTGACTGCAAAGGCAGCTTCCTTCATAACAGAACAACAGACACCGCTCTCTCCCCCAGCTCTCTAGGTCATCTGAAGAATCTGTCTGAATCTGAAAATGACCAATGCCCAACTGAGGAAGACTTTGATTGGAGGGAAGCAGAGAAGGCTGGGATTAAATACTGTCTTTGCTTCTCAGTAACCATACAGTTTTCTGTGAGTCACTTAATTTCCCTGTGTCTCAAGTTTCCACAGCTCTGTATGTAAAATAGAGCTATTAATAGCACCCAGATCATAGATTAGTTGTGAGCATTAGATAAAATGATAAATGTGTAGCCCTTAGAAGAGAGCTTGGCACATTAAAAAATGCTCAATAAATGTTCATTCTTATTCTGCTTCAACACGTGGGCTTTGTGACCCCAAAACCTATCTCTCTCCACCTATCCTAGTATGCCCCCTGCTCTCCTAGGGTACCACAAGAGGTCTGGACAGGAAATAAAAGCTGCATCTTAGATGAAGAGGACGATTCAGTGGTGTGATTCTCAAGCCTGATCATTAATAAGGCAAAGGCCCTTTCTTAGACATGGCACAGGGGAGTAACAAGAATCTCTTGGCAGAAAGAGTATTCAGAACCAGCATATTATCCAACTATAGCATGCTAATTCCTCTGGACTGAGAACTGCCCCCTTCAGAGTTTCTATCCCAGAATGGACAATCAGGATCCCTGTAGTGCCACCATTTTGTCAAACACTTTGGGGACACTCACCTTTGCAATTAACCTCATAGTCTAAAAGGTGTCTTAGAGAATTGTTTTTATCAGATTAAGGTTATTTGAACCCAATTGTGGGTCTCAACCTGGGGATCATTTTTGGTCCAAAATGATGACTAGCAATGAAACCATATTATTGATTTTCTATTAATGCCTGTAAGCTTCCATTAAAAATATAAATGCCAAATATTAAGCCCATATACCTCACTCTATAAAAGACTATAAAAGATTGAGATAATGGAATAAAATATAAATTTGTCTCTGGGCAGTTCACAAATCCTTATGAAACATAAAAAGTAAAACATACAATGAGTACCTTTAATTGTAGTATTTAAAATCTCTCTGACTGTCCTCATAATTGTAGTATTTAAACACTCCCTGGCTGTCCCCGTGCGATTTATGACCAGCATAATTAAATACTATCCTGATTCGGCATAAAGAGACCGTAGGGGCCATATTTCAACCCTTCAAAATGCAAGTGTAAAAGAAAGCTTTGTTTCTCAAGCCTTTGTCCTTGCGATGTTTAGGCAACTTGGAAGCCCTCTTAAGAGCCTCAAACTACTCTCCCTCTGGTCACCTAGGATATCAAAGAGGATGGCACTGGTCTGTTTTGATGGAGGGGACTGTTCACCATGCACTCTGCAGGTACCTCCAGTCTTCATGACCTTGAATTTCTGATTCCATATTGTACCAAACTAACAACCTTCATTTCTGTAGCACACTCTGGCTCCAAGGAGCTGGGCTTCAGTAGCACTCATAGATCACCATTACCTTGGGGAGTTTTGGTGAAATTTTCTATAATAGGTATGATTTTTGTGTTTTAACATCTTTTCATTCAGGATGCATAGGAGAGTTAATGGAATATAATAGTTACTGTCAGCTACATGGTAGTTACAGTGCTGTTGTGTAAAAAATTTCCACAGAAAGCTTCCAGAAAAAGCAAAACGGCAGCATTACCCAAGCACCTTAGAGTCAAGGAAATATGAGTATAAACAGCTAACATTTATTGACCACTTTCCATGGGCTGGTGTAGTAGTTATCTATTGCCACATGAATACTGTGTAACCAACAACCACAACACATCAGTGTCATATAATAGTCAACATTTATTATTTCTCATGAGGCTATGGAATAATTGAGCTATTCTCCTGATCTAGACCAGACTTAGCTGGGCTCACTGTGTGTCTGCCTTCAGCTAAAGGTTGTGTGAGCATTTCCGCTGATCTTGGTTGGGCTCCCTCGTGTTTGGAAGTTGGTTGGCTCTAGGCTGGTTGTGTGGGATACCTTTGCTACCTTCCCATGGTCTTTTACCTTCAGAGACGTTAGCCTAGGCTTGTACTTACGGTAGCAGGATTCCAAGAGAAGGTGGACTGATACAAGCATTTTTTTAAAAGCTTCGGCATGACTAATACTCCTCAACATCTTATTGGCCAAAGCAAGTCACTTGTCTGAACCCAGAGTGAGCTTTAAAAATAAAACTTGAAGATTTTCACCTCTTCCCCTGAGCTCCTTTGCCATATTGTAACACTTAGCTGGAGATGAACATCGACTAAGGAGCCCTGTGCCCAATCTCTACACTCCTCCACAGTGGTGATCTCTTATGGGCAGGAGAACAGGTTTCAGCCCAAACATAAACTGTGACCACAGCTGTGTGTCTGACCCCAGTCCAAGCAAAACAAACAACACCACCACAACAACAAAGCTCTGAGCAAGTCCAAGTATCTGCCGAATGCTGTATTCTAAGTTTCAGTTACTCTTCTTCCAACAACTGACATGTGTAAATCGTACTGCTAAATCAGTAGTTCTGTTTCATCTTGCATGAAATGTAAATACTGGTAAGTTGTCTTTCTTATCTCTGAGGATTATGGTGAGAATAAAACTGAAATAATGCAACAGAATTCTTCAGAAGTGAGGCATTTTGAAAAGTGAAAGCGTGCCTTACTGATCTAAGGTGGTATGAAAACATTCGGGAGATCTATAGAGATCTTTAATGTACACACAGGGTTTCCTACAAAGTATTCAAGTCCTTTCTTTTCCTACCTACATTTTACATTAGGCTCTGTTCTTTCATTATAAACCTTGCACAGTAAGAATTCACCTTTGTTTCTTGCCAGCCCTTTGACTACTGCACGCGTTTGATCTGAGCAGAGCCAGCACTTCTCAGCGGTGACGTTACGTGCCATGGAGCCTGTTCCTCCTCACACTGGCCAAGCCTCTTCCCCACCATCACCACTGGCCACTGCAGGAAGGCTGACTGCCCTGTTTCCCTGCTGGGGACACAAAAGCACCCTCCACATTTTCTAGAGATATGGGGTAATAATCACGATACACATTAAGATGGGTCACAGAATTTGCATATACATTTAGAGTCATGCAGCAAAATGGCAATCTGGGCAGCCTGGATGAGGGTATCTCTGAAAGCATTTACTAAACAAAAGGAAGTTCTTTCTTCTGAAAACCGCACATGAGAAATCAGTCAGCATACAAAGATGCAATACTAATCTAAGATGAGATTTTAAATGTTCAAAAAAGAGCAATGATGTCTGTAAGGGACAACATAGATTTTTTTTTTCAGGTATAGATTTCTAATTTCTCATGGGGCATGAAATATACCTATATTCATTCCAAACTGATATTATAGATTAGGGGATTTTAACCCCTCTCCTCACTATATTTGTTCCTCACTATATTTATCTATCTTGTGATTATTATGGTCTTTTCAAAACTCTCCTTTTAAAGTTCTTCCTACCATTCATGGTACATTTTAAGCACTCTCACCACAAGCCTGCATAACAGTCTAAGCCAGAGGTCCCATCTTACCTTTATTCTCTAGCACTTTAGTCATCCAGATGATATGCATCTTCTGCTTCATATGAATGTTCATAACTTTCTGTACCACTTCACACACAAGCCTAGATCAGTGCCTAGAACATATTAGGTGCTCAGAAAAATATCTGTGGAATTAGAAGTTAACAAGATAATTTGTATAAGGTAGCATTTACCTGGCACAGAGTTAACACCCCTTAAATATTTGTGATTATTAATATTATAAATAAAACACTGCACGTATTTTTGCACCCAATTCTATAGTCTTGAAAGTCCTTTTTTAAAAATATGTAAATCCTTTCCACAGTCAATATTTAATTACTTTAGTAGAAGATCTCAGTACATTTCTAAAAAAAAAGATTTAAGTTCTAATCTTATATTATGTATTTTATAGCCAAATATTACATGTTTGCCAACACAAAGATGATATAAAACAAATTAATATGCCTTTGTATCTTAATGCAAATATTAGTACCTCATTTAAACAATGACTTTCAAATTTCAACTGTATATGAATGGTAGGAAAAGACCTAATCATGTGACATATGAAGTTTGCTCACTCTCTAGTCGAGGTCATAGATCAATGTGGTATCTTTGTTTCTCCATAACTTTACAAGTGCAAAGTGTTCAACACTTTCAGGTTGAAGACACTAATATATTGGATGTGACCTGGGTGGGGCTTTTGAGAAGCTACTGACCATGTGTAACCAGAAAGCAGAAAGCAGGCAGGCTTCTTATTTTTAAGATAGGTTTTAAGGAGGTCTAAGACAGAAGAGAGCTTTGGCTGCCTCCACATCTCATACTTTATTTTTCCACAGCATTTTGCCTTTTGTTCCACATTGTGTTTGCATTTTTTTATTTGGAGCAGAGCCCTGATCAAAAAGGACAAATGTAAGTTTGCTAAAACAAGCCAATTCTACTAAAATTTTAAAAGTCAGTTGAAAAGAATTTTACGCAAATAATCACCCAACCCAGTTTGCACAACCAATTTAAAAATAAAACCTAATTTTGTTGATAACTCAGAAATGTATTAACCAAGTCCAGATCTCAACATTTTCAGATGATCTGATGATCAATTCACCACCCAAGAATTGATTTTAAGACTTAGGATGAAGGAATGGCATGTGAGAACAATGCAATTACTACTGAAGGTAAGGAATGAGATGTGACAGGCACATATTAAAAACATTTCTTTTTCAAAAGGAGATGGAGCTTTCATAACCAGGACTTACTTATGCCCAACCTCCTCTGATAACCATCCAAAACAAATAATGTTACAGAAATATTTTAAAAGGATCTGATTTCTAAGTTCTACATTAAAGTCTGGAGTCAGATCAATGTTGGTTCCAAATCATGCTCTACCTCTGACCCTTTGTGTCATCTTAGCCAACTCAATTACCCTTTATTAACCTCAGTTTTGTATAATGGGACTGATAATCCTGCCCTCATAAAATTATTGTGAAAATTAAAAACATAATAAATATAAGACATTAAAAAAGCCTAGTTTAATTATCAAGATTGTTTTGATACAAGTCATGACTAAAAATAGCTGAAGGCAAACACAGAGATGTCAAATGACCAGCCAGCCATGCAATTTAAGAATACAGTATTAAAACCACCATAACAATGTAAGCTAAGTAATATATTGCACATAACTATCTTTGGTTTATAACTCCTTGAACAATATTGCCTGTGCAAAAGACACGGGGGGTGGGAGAGGCAGTGAGAAACTGAAACATTTAAGTTATATTTAGCATAAAATTTTGAAGAACATATATTAATGCTTACCATCTACCTAATAAGAATCCTATATAGATTATTAATAATTAGCTAATGCTGCTTAGCATTTTGGAACTCAATAAAAGAGAGAACAATACTCACATGCAGACTCACACATACATAAAACACTAAATATTAACATATATAATCAGATCACAGCACATGATGTATGAAATAAGGGGCACAAAAGCAACATGCTCTTGCTCTTGGGAAATTATCTGTACTCAGTATCTTTCATGTCACAAGATTCCCCCCATTGGATCCAGATCTAGCGAAGGTTCTCATCAAGAAAGGCTGTCCTATATGACAAGGCTATAAGTATCAGTACCTGCATTTAAGTGAAGGCTATCAAATTTGGATAATTCCACTGCACATATACACACAATATATCCCACAAAACACACACACACACACACACACACACAATGGATGGAACTAGTCATGGGCAAAGCAAAAGTGACATCTTCAAAAGGCTACCCCCAAGAGCATCAGCAAAAGGCACAGGAAGGAGAAAGGAACAAGGCAAGGAAACCATAAAACCTGAAATGTTAGATGGGCAGCCTATAACTACCATAAGTCTGTACCTCCGATGCAGGTGTTATTGCAATCATTAGTCTTCCTTAGCCACAGCTTTTAGCTAACAATCAGAGAGGTCCAAAGGATGTGTGACGTTGTGCCCTGCTTCTTTCTGGGTTAGGAAGTCTAAGTGAAAAATCATAAGTCTCCAATTTGGTCTTAGATTTGGGGTTAATGAACTATCTTCTTTAATGATCTAAGAGAAAAAATGTGTGGGAAAGGCAGTGATGCGCGTGTATACAGTACTTCACAACACCAACGTCCTTTTGTGTGTTATCAAGATATGATACACACATATCTGATTCTGATTCTGTGTAATAGTTCTGAGTGGCATCGACACCACTTCACAGATGAGGAAATTAAAACCCATATTATTAAAATAACTTGTCAAGGGTGCATAACTAATAAATAAGACTAGAAGTCAGGTCTCCACTCTGTTTTCATCGAGTTGCCTGCATTTAAGTTTCCTCTGATTCCCCCACTTCAATTTATAAAAATAATAACTTTAAACTTTACTTCCTCCACAATGCTCGGACAAATGAATGTGGCTAGATGAAATTGATTATCCCTGTTTTTGAAAGCATGTACGTACATACTGGAAAAAGTCATGTGCGTGTGTGTTGGTGGTTGGTATTGAGAAATAAAAGATCTGAGGGAAGAGAGAGAGCTCATTAGTTAGCAAACTTTGAATGCTCAAACATTAAGTCACTCCCTCTAATACTAACTATATTCAATAGCCTTAGTAGACTTACTGCCTGCCAACCTTCGAAACCCTGACCCACACTGTCTCCTCTGGGCTTGTTAGCATAACCCTGGGCATCAACACACACATATACACACACACACACACACACACTCACACACACGCACATGCGCACACACACATACACAACACCTGGCAAAACATTCCAGTCATTTCTTAAATGGACTAGTATTTGATTTGGCAAAAAATACATTTTACCCCCTCTCATTCAGTTCAAAATCTTTCAAGACAAGTTACAAGATAATTTGCAGCTTGGCATAAGACTATATATTTCTAGTCCAAAACTTATTTGTTTCATGGTACTTACATATTGCATACATTTGAAGCCAGAACTTTCCATTTCACCTAAGGAAGTAGAAAAGTTTTATAAATGAGATGAACATTTTGGTGGTGATATGTTAATAAATATTAAATACTGACATTAAAGATGTGATTATTAAGGTAGGGAGTGACGGCAAAGTTCTCCGGGAGCTGGTGGACTCTCTGTTGCAATAACTTCAACACACTTGTATAGAATAAAGCAGAACCTATGTCTTCAAAGTTGGCTATTAGGGCAATGGTAGATATTTGCAGGACAGGGCCATCGATAGATACTGAATGCTGCTAAGATTTGCCTCAATACGATCTATACTTATGTACTAACAGAATTCCCAATGAGTAACTATTTGTTTTGAAATGTTCACCACTTTTATTTCAAAAGCTAACAATGAGCACAGCTGAAATGCCATGTCTCTGGGTCTCTGGGAAGCCTTCTGGCAATTTCAGTACAAATGAAGATATAGTGACAGGCTGTGTGCAGGATAATCTGTGCACATCTCCAAGAGTAAATGCTCCCATTTCTTGATTTAATCTCTGCCTATTTACATATGTGTTTAATTTTTACCCATCCTTGCTTACAATGTTCTTTCACTGTCCACTCTATGGTAGCCTGGAGAACGTTCACCCACTTTTAAAATAGTCTTTCATCATCACCAACAAAGTTGTTGTTTTCATATTTCTTCCAGTAAGTGTTTCCAGGTTCACTTTAAATTGAGAGTTCTGACAGATTAAAAAGTTTCAGATTTATTCCTCCAAATCTAAAACTTCCCTTGGCATGGCCAAAAATCACCAACTTTCACCACTGCTAGTTTCTCTGTGTCAGCCAGCAGCCCACCTCACACCACTCTCCCCAAGGTCAGCTTTCTGCAATCCTGCAATCCCATTCTCCATAAGAAAGGCTCAAGTGGTTATTTTCGCTGTTCAGTAGAGGAGGTCAGGCAATGACTGGTGAACAGGCAGTTGTTGTCACTTGGATATTGATGTTTCTATGACTGGATCACATTGGAGAACAATCAGTAATTAATTCACAAGCTGGAAAGCCCCAGTTCTGACACTGACACACACACACACACACACACACACACACACACACACACACACACACACACAGCATCCTGAGAAAGATGGTTCAGGCTCTCCCTGTAACTTGCATCTATCAGCTGAGTGTCACAGGCACCGACTACACTGGAAAGAAGGCAGCGATTGCCCACTGCGATCTTTGTGTCCTCTAAATTGACCTATACATATGTCGTCCTAGACTTGAGCCATCAGTAAACTTGCAGCTATTGAAGAGGAAATGACTTGAGGGAACGCCAGGCTGCTTGAAAAGTTAACTCTTTCGCCACGACATTCCAGGTACTTAATAAAACCCTACTCTTTGCCTGGTCTTCAGCCCCACAAGCATAGGTACAGAAAGTAGAGATTTACGTGCTTACTTGAAAGTTGGGGTTTTTTGTTTGTTTGTTTCAGGGTTAGAGTTTGGAGAAAAACATGAAGATCCTGGAAAGGCAGAGGCTCAGCCTGAAGGTGAAATAGTTCTGGGAAAGGCGGCAAAGCCTTTATTGTGCACACTTCCGAAGCCACAAGACTCGAATCCCCTGCTGCCGGATCCTGCAGCCCACGTCAACTCGCCACCCTCTCCTCTAGGACCCCGCCCCGCCACTCCTTACTCACATCGAGGTCGCGGTCAGACCAGGTGAGCATCTCTGTGCGTTCCTCGCCGCCGCCGCGTCAGCCTCAGCTCCTGCGTTCGGAAGCCATGGAGTCATCTTGCCGCGGAGTTTCAGAGTCCCGTTAGCCTAAGTCCCCAGGGGCTTCTCCTCCCGTTCGCTCCCGCTGCCTGCGCTCGGTGCGGCGGCTCTCCGGGAGGGAGGAGGAGTCGCCGCAGACGCCCCGGCGCGGAGGACCAAGCCCCGCGCCGGCCAGGAGCGCGCTCAGCCTCGCCAGCGAGCCGCCGCCCGCGCCTTGTCCCATCCGGGGGCGAGAGGAGCGGAGAGGGGCTCCCGCACCCGAGGGGGCCCGCGGGGTCTCCGCTGGCGGGCTGCGGGGGGCAGGCGCTCAGGGCTCCGACTCCATCCACGTCGGGCCGCGGTGGGGCGGAGGCGGCGCCGGTAGGTGGCGGCCACTCGCGCGGAGCTAGGCGCCGCCACGCGGGCGGGACCGGAGTCTCAGGGACCCGGGCGCGGCCGCCAGCCGAGCCCCGCGAGGGACCGGGAGCTGCTGGAGCGCCCCGCTCTCCGCACCGCTCTGAGCCGCTGCGGGCGGGCCATGGTCGGGCCGCGACCGCCACGAACCCTCGCTCTGCTGCTCTGCGCCTGCCCCTGTGGACTCCTGCCACTGTCCTGGGGAGGAGGGGGACGCTACTCTTGCCCTCTCAGTCTCTGTAAATGGGCGCTTTGATCTAACCCACGGCACGGGCGCTGTGTCCTGGCTGAGAGAGACTCCGGACAGCAGCGGAGATGGGGGTGGGGCTGTGTGTGGAAAAAATAAGTGTCTGTATATACACACGCGATCACGATCATTGTGTGCGCGTTTAGGGTTTTCCCATTAGTCACCAACTGCTGCCTTTTCTTCACCTTCCATGGCACCAGTTCTGTTTAAAATTAGTCTTTAATATCATAATCTCTTTTGGAAGAGAACTTTGGTACTAGTCATGTCCTAAATGTTTTATGGGCATACACCATGGCTTCCTCCAAAACTACAAAGTCCTGGAGGGGAAAGGGGAACAGAAAAGGATCTCAAAACTGAAGCTCAGGGCCATTTTGGTTTTTGTCACACCATTGTAGTCCCAGGACTGACCACAAAACTCAAGATTCCATAGGAAATCAGTAACCTACTGTAGACATTTGTCTACTACATCCATTATATAATTGCTGAACAAATTCATTGATTAACCTGTATCAGTTTCCACCCAACCGCCTGAAGTAGCTGACAGGCCTTCTGAGATCTTGGAATGAACTTCCCATAAAATTAGCAGTTTTCTATCCGTGTACACGGTGCTTGCTCTCCACTAATTTGCTGTTGGATATGCGGCATCACCACACTTGGTTTCCTAAGTTTGAAAATGAACGAGTTATTACTGAGGAACATTTCTACAAAACAAGGGGCCAGTACACTTTAAACTATGAGCGTCCTGAAGGACAAAGAGACTAAGGAACTGCACCAGATTAAAGGAAGTTGAGGAGACAACAAAACAGATCACGGGATCCTGAGTTAGATTATAGTCCAGGAAATTGGCATTAGTGAATCAATAGGCAAAACCCGACCAAGGTCTGTGAAGTAGTTAGTCATATGATATCACTTTTAATTTCCTAGTTTTGAAATGGAACTGTGGTTGTGTAAGATATTTATAGTTATGGAAGCTGAATAAAGAGTATTCAAGAAACCTATTTTTTGCAAATGTTAAAGTCTTTTATTTTAAAATGAAAATAGAAAATAATTTTTGTGTGACAATAATATAAAAGGATAGAATTAAATGAACTTTAAAATTCTTTCTGAGCCTAAAATTCTTCAACTATATGACTTTAATATCTATCAAGCTAGCTCTCCTGCTGTTGCTGTTATAAAGTTCAGTGGAGACCTTAGGAAGGAAAAGGGACTTTGAAAATTTATTTATTTTTTTAAATTTAAACCTTTTCAAGTAGACAGTTTGATTTTAGGACAAAATGTCTTCAGATTTCTTTGCAGCCTTTACAAAACTAATAGCATTCCTAATGTACATGAAGTCAATAGTTAATAAATGAATGCCAAAAAGATAACAGCTTTAACAATAAAATAACAAAAATTCTACCATATATATAATATATATTTCTTGTTCTGTGCAGAAGCATTTTAGTTTATTCAAGTCCCATTTCTCTATTTTGTTTTTGTTTCATTTGCTTTTGGGGTCTTAGTTGCTTTAGGTTTAGTTTGCTCTTTTTACAGGGTGTTAAGGTGGAAAGTTTAGTTATTGATTTGAGATCTTTGTTCTTTCTTAATTTAGACATTTGCAGTTACAAATTTCCCCTCTAAGCACTGCTTTAGCTGAATCCCATACATTTGATATGTTGTGTTTTCTTTTTTATCTGTTTACTTTTTTTTTTATTTCAACATATTACGGGGATAGTTACTCTACATTGTGTAATTCTCATATACTATCCTGGCTAGAAAGGAGTTAGTAAGGCTAGTAGAAAAGACATTAAACAACTTATTCAGAAAATCCCTCAAACCATTTTGAGATGAGAAAGTAACAGCTCTCTGGGCTAACGAATAACATTAGTAATTTGAGGATTGAGTAGGATCTCAGATTGCTTTCTCCCATCTATAGAACACAGTTGGCCAGCATGTTGTTTTATTAGTAGGGTACAGGTTTGTTTTCCAAAGATAACCTTTTACTCAGGAATAATAAAAGTATTTTTGAAGAATATTCCATGCTCCTTTAATAACTGAACTAGCCAATCTGCCATTTAGGACATTCTCTTGGAAGCACTCTTCCAATGTCTCTTGGAAGACATTCTCTCTTCCATTCTCATGGAAGCACTGAAATTTAATGTCTGATACAGCTGCTTTGCTTGAATTTTCTCTTGTCTTAGACTAATCTATGGAATAACCCAGAAGTTGCTGCCAAAAACACATCTTATGAAAGAGTGTGTAACAGTACTTTCCCTTAGACAATTTCAAAAAGGTTTAATTATTAATGAGTAATAGCTACTCTGTTATCTTCAGGGTGGTTCCATCATAGGTTCAGAGATTCTTTTTCAATGGAGTTACCAAGAAGAAAATTATATATATATAAAATTATATGATATAAAATTAAATAATTATATATAAAATATACAATAATATATAATTATAAATAAAATATAATTTATATATAAAATATATAATTATAATATATTCTATAATTATATATTATATAATTACATAAATATTATATAATATATAACTATATAAATTATATTACATGATTTTATCTATTATAATTATATATTTTATAGATAAATTATATATAATTTATAATTATATAACATAATATAATAGACTTATAAATAATATAATTTTATATTATATAATCCAAAAAGCAAATAGACAACCTACACAATGGGAATAAATATTCACATGCTGTGTATCTGATGAAAGATTGATATCTAGAATCTACAAGGAATTCAACTCACCAAGAGAAAACCAAACAACCCCATTAAAGAGTGGGCAAATGATGAGAACAGACATTTTTAAAAAGAAGATATACAAATGACCAAAAAATATGAAAAACTGCTCAACATCATTAATCATCAGAAAAATGCAAATTAAAACCATAATGAGACATCACCTTGTTGCAGTTAGACTGGCCATTAATAAAAAGTCAAAAACATTAGATGTTGTCATGGATGCGAATAAAAGAGAAACACTTGGACACTGTTGTTGGGAATCTAAATTAGTGCTACCTCTATGGAGATCAGCATAGAGAATTCTCAAAGAACTCAAAGTAGATATACTTGCAATCCCACCACTAAATATCTACCCCCCTCAAAAAGAGCTCATAATTCACCTGCACTTGTACATTTATTGCAGCACAATTCAGTTCAAAAGATATGCAATCTACCTAAGTGCCCATCAACCTATGAGTGAATAAAGAAAATCTGACACAGCACAACTCCGCCATAAAAAAGAATGAAATGATACCTCTTGCAGGAACTTGGATGGATCTGGAGGCCATTATCCTAAGTGAAGTAACTCAGGAATAGAAAAACAAATGCCACATGTTCTTACTTATGAGTGGAAGCTAAACTGTGGCTACACAAGGACACACAGAATGGTATAATGGACACTGGAGAATCAAAAGGGAGGAGATGAGGGATGAAAAAATACCTATAGGGTACAATGGCGTTATTTAGATGATGGGTACACTAAAAGCCCAGACTTTACTACTGTACAATATGTACATGTAATGGAATTCAACTTGTACCCCCTAAATTTGAGTTTTTTTTTTAAAAAAGGATAAAAAATAAATCTAAAACAAGCAAAAGGAAGGAGACATATAAATATAAATACTAAAACAGATTTACAAATAAATAATAAGTACATAAAGACATGGTCAACACCACTCAGCATTCATTATTAAGAAGATGATTCTTAAATCCACTATAAAAATCACTAAAATGGCTATAATTCAAAAAAAGAAATGCAGGAAATACCAAGTGTTGTGGAGGATGTGGAGAAATTGGAACCACCAACATATGTTGCTGCTAGAAAAATAAAATTGTGCAGCCATTTTGGAAACCACATTGGCAGTTTCTTTAGAAGTTAAGAGTTAACTATACAACATAGTAATTCTTCTTCTAGAGATCTAGTCATAAATTATATGTTCACATAAAGTTCTGTATGAAAATATCCATAGTCATATAATCCACAATAGCTTAAATACTGCAAATTATCCAGATGCTGCTTAACTGGTGAATGGATAAACAAAATATGATATATTCATACAATAGAAAAATATTAAGCAACCAATCATATGAAATAATGACAAAACCTTCAATAACGTAGAAATGGAAATTTTTCCATCTAATAAAGTGCATTTATTAAAAAAATAGGTTAACATTATACTCAAGTGAAAGACTTAATCCAACACAGGTAATCATAAAAAATAATATACTCAGTGAAAGAAGTCAGGTGAAATGGGCTACATATTGTGTGGTTACATGACAGGAAATGTTCAGAAAAGCAAATCATGGCAGAATGTGGGTCAGTGATTGTCTGGAACTGGGAAGGGGGGGCGTGAGGGAGGATAAACTACAAAGTAGTTCATGTGTAATTTCTCGAGAAATAGCAATGTTCAAAAACTTGAATATGGTAATGGTTGCATAATTCTATAAATTTAGTAAAATAACTGAATTGTCTACTTTTAATAAATTATTTTTGTGGTATGTATATTATATCTTAATAATTCTCTTTAAAAGTTCCTGCTCCTCGAAAAACACTCAAGAAAATGAAAAGGCATGGCAGCCTGACCTAAACTGGGAAAAACATTCACAACGTGGAGAAAGGTGAAGGATCTGTAGAGAGCATATGTAAGAAATATCTACAAATAAAGATATAA